TTGTCCTGTAGGACATGCGATCGGGCCACAGTCATCGGGCCCGTCGATCCTGGACGAAAGGCGCCCCCGAGCAAGGCTGGGCCCACCTGCCAGTTGGACATCCCAGTGTAAATCTCCGGAGCCATAGCGCCCAAAGCAGTCGCGGCGGCGAAGAGCATCGCCCGCGTGGACCCTTCGCCACGTCGACCTCGGGACAAGACAGCCAAGCAAGGCTCATCATCTTTTCGAAGGCGCGTCGGTTTCTCCTGACATCATTGCAGCTTTTCCCCCAGCGTGCGCAGATGTACTTTTCGGCGGGCCCCAGAGTGACCGGGCCCTTTTCCACCGAAGAAACTTGCAACAGCTGGTCGGGGAGATATTGCTCGAGGGTCGCGATGGCTGGCATGGCCTCCTCAATGGCTTCGCCAGCTGGTGGAGAAGTACCTACGCATCCACGTCTCCACGGCCTTCGACACCTCCTGGAAACTGGCGAAGAGGCAAAGAGGCGCCGCGCCTGCTTGCTCTGCCCCGGGAGGGTCGCTTCAGTAGCCGGCTACGCGATGTCCTGAATGACGCGGTCGCTGCGAGTGGCCAGCCCCCCCCAGCCGTCATTGATCAGCTTCCAAATTCCTGGTGCTCGCGCCAGAGATTCCCCCCAATCTTCGGGAGGTCGCCCCAGAACCCAACACAGGGGATCCAAACTGCTGGGTCTTTGAGATCCCGCCGAGCGAACTTATCCACTGGACGAAAGACTGCTGGATCCTTGGACGGCCCCATCTCCCGCGCGCCCTGCAAACCGCGCCGTCAACTCTGAACTCCTCAAGGAGGGCGCCCACGACGCCCCCATCGAGGGCGTTGCACGAGTTGGCGATCTGCACGACTTCGCTGGCAGGCTTCGTCATCAGCAGTTTCGTGCACACACGAAACGCAGGTCTTCTTTTGCACTCATGACGGACCGCCACCATCTCAGCCAAGTGCTTGTCTACGAAAGTGGCTTCATCGTGACCCTGGCGACTCCGCGTCTGTTGAACCTGGCTCATCAGCACCGAGCAGAAAGTCAGGTCGTCGGGAGGCCAGCCCCCATCATGCTCAGATTTTGCAGGTGGCGGATCCAGCTCGTGTTGCTGTCGAAGAAAGCCCATGCTCTCGCCCTGAGCTCGCTTCGTCTCGATGTCCGTCATCTCCCGTTGCATCTTCTGGGCGAAGGCCTTCGCACGTCCGCGATGCACGACACCGGCAGTAGACACGCGCGAAGTAGATTCCCCAGCAAGAGGAGGTCATCAACGTCCACCCAGACGCGGCAGTCGCCCCACGCTGGAACTCATCGAACGTCGCCACAACATTGATGCACCATTGCCTTGCGGCACCGTGTCTGAGGTCCAAGAGCACGAGGGAATTCCACGAGAAGGACTCGTAATTCTCGCGCGGGAAATCGGTCGCCCTCTCGATCGGTATCTCCACCAGGGCATCTGATGGAACATCCAATCCCTATTTCTACTCGGAGCCCCCTGCAGGTCGCGAACCTGGCGGCGCGCTCAAATCCCCGACGTTGCTTCTCGGCAGCACCCAAGCCCCCCCAGTCGACCAACCCGCCAGGCAAAATAAACGCGAGCGGCGATCCCACATTCCGGCTTCGACGGCGGGCCGGGATGGATATGCCAGGACGTAGACGCCGACGGATCCGACGCAGACGCCGACGGATCCGGCGGAGTGGGAAGTGCCGGCTTTGAACTGCGCGGCTGCGTCGTCGCGACTGGGTCAGCGATCACGTCGTCGTCGACGGATTCCGCGACGGGAGGTAGCTGGGCGTGCGAGGATGCGGCAGCACGTCTCTCGGGCCCAGCAGCGACCTTGGGCTTTGCCTCGGACATAGCCGAGCCGCGACGGTGTCTCAGCCTGTTGCTTCGCTTTTGCCTCGGCCAAGAACCTCCTTTCCAGGCAAGCTTCGCATAGGTTTCCTGGGTGCTGCAGGCAGGAAATCACCAGCGGTGTAGTCACCAGACGCTCCGCCAAGCGATCTACGGCTGTGATCTTCCTCGTGTTCATGATCACTCTCACTGGAATCAGCCGCCATGGCGTCCTCCGCCTGCTTGGTCCGGCCCTTGTTCCTATTCTTCCAGCGGCGTCTCTGGTTCTTGGGTCTCCTAGCTTCGACCGCTTCTCCAATCCAAGGGCGAGGGCGCTCGCCGAAAGCAATCCGACCCAGGTTCTGCCCGGTCGGCTCTCGGAGCCCCCCCGACCCCTCCGCAGCTTCATCTTGGCCAGCAAGCACGCACATGATCTGACCTCTTGACCTTGATAGCACAGTTGACCCTGTGGACCCGCACCCGTAACATCTTCTTCATTTAGCGGTTCCAAGCGTTCCAGGCATAGAAGTTTTAAGATGACTGCCAGAGCTGGTTCATTCTGGTCCCCTGAATCCGCGGCATCTCCGATCGCCCCGCAAAACGATTGGGAAAAGTTGGAAGTCCCTGCTCCCAGCACGTAGCCAACCTTCACCCTGAACAGCTTCCGGAGCCACAACCTCCGTAACGTTAGTCTCGAGCACTTCGAGCTGGCTTCGGGCCTGGGCAAGGCGGCTCTCCGCCTCGCGTCTCTGCTGAGCCAGAGTCTTCACAGTTTGCATCAGTTCCAGGTACCGATCGAGGTTGAGCTGTTGAGCAGCAGCACGAGTATGTTACCCTCCGCGCGAAGAGCGGCATCACCTCTCCCCGAGTCACTGGGCACCCTTCCAGATCCTCAATGTTGTTCGTCACTCTTCAGTCGGCGCAACTCCGCCTCGAGGTTCTGGCTGGCGGCCATCAGGAGCGCCACGCGCCCTCGGAGACGGAGAACTTTCGGGAGCGACTCGGACGGCAACCATTAGATAGGAACTGCTCTCGAAGCTGATCGAAGAGATCCATGTTGGGATGACCTGGGTCAGGCGCAATTAATGCTGAGCCTTCGGCGAAGGACGAAGCAAGAGCCTGCCTTATAGGGCTTTCAGAACCAGCCCCGGGGTCACCGGCCGCTCCAGCCAGATATCCGCCCGAGCTGGCCTCCTTTTCGCCCACCTTGTCGAAAGGCTCCTCGCAGTCGCAGAACTCCTCGTTGCATTCGAAGTCCACCGGCTCGTCTCCTGAGTTGGGGGACCTAAGCAGGCTGAACCTGATTCCTTGGGCGGCAGGGCCCCGCTGGCTAGGGGGCCCCGGCCACAGAGCCAAAGTCGAAAGCTGTAAGCGGCGGCACATCGCGACGCGCTGCCACGGATCCAACAAATGCTTCACGGGGAGGGCAGTAGCACAAATCACACGTCGATAGAGCCGATGCGAACGCGGGCTGGGCCGAAGAAGTGGAACGCTTCGGAAGTGCAGGAAGAGACGCACGAGACAATGAGGTGCTGGTCGGAAAACTATTATTCTAAACATTCGGTATCGGATTGCATTTCCCGGTAGCCAGCGGATATGCTTTTCTGCGCTACATGTCTACATTACCCCCAATAATACGTAATTCGGCCGTCTGCAAAATTTGGAATATAGGCCGTTAGTCAAACCATCCGTGGGATTAAGGTCGCGCGGAAACCAGCGACTTCCAGAGAGCCCCGACCAACTGCAATATCCAAAGCTCCTCTCTTCTCGGTAGAGGCTCACTGTTCCCGATTGATACAATCGCACAATGACTTGGCATCGGTCATGGTGATTATATCCGGGTCGGGGCTCTGCTCCAGGATCGTCGCAACTCGGACTCCTCGAATCATGGCATGTCGGTCTCGGAGCTCATACCGAATATCATTCGCAGTAAAACCAAGACGTAACCCACTCTACCTCGGCCAACCCCTCTGACATGGCGTTAGCTTCCACCACGAGGGTAGAGTTTCCAGCACGCTCCGTCTTGTGAGTGCCACGTAAGAACGCTGACATCAGCATCCCTTCCAACCAGCAGGTGCTGATCTGCAGCGCAGATCACGTTGCCTGTCTGAGAACGCCCCTGTCACGCGCCCTTGAGGCCCAATCCGGAGTCGCACGCGGCGTTAGCCTCGATAAGATCTTTCACCTTGAGGTTAGGCAGAGTGCTGCTCAGGATAGACGCATCTCCGGAACCGTTGGGCATGCCTTCTCGGCATGTCCAGTTCAGTTTCCCACGCAAACCACTCATAGCCGAAATCTCTTCTGGTGTTGCTGCAAGTTCGGGATAATTGCAGCGTCCGCGTGGTAGATTAATAAGTCGTGCCTGTTCTGCAAGAAACCGCACCGTAGAGGTCGCGAAGTCGAAATTCTTGCGCTGTCGCAGAGTGCGTCCGCCATACTCAATAACATCATCCATCTGCGCAGTCCATTTCCGAATGCGCATCGCGCCTGAAGACGAGAAATGGCATCAAAAAAACGATCCTATTCCTCCTCCTTCTCCTCCTCCTACTCCTCCTCATCCTCCTCCTTTTGTTCCTTCACCTCCTCATCCTCCTCCTCCCCCCTCCTACTCCCTGCCTCCTCCTCCTCCTCCTCCTCCTCCTCCTACTCCTCCTCCCCCTGCGTCGAGGAGGGCGATCATCCCAGACTGAGCCGATAATCAGCCCAGACTCAGGCCGAACTGCGCCGCGCTGCCCCGACTTCGGCTCCGCCGTACTTACTTCCTGGTGGATCTTCGGTGCCGACAGTGCACCCCCCACGACGCGGAAAGGCGAAGCGGAAAGCTCCGCCTCGGAAAGAATGGGGCAGGCATGTCCGCCAAAGTGTTGCAGAAACGGCGACGGCCTTGTGCCGAAGTGAACCCCCAACGACGCGGAAAGGTAAAGCGGAAAGTTCCGCCTCAGAAGAATGGGGCTGGCATTCCCGCCAGAATAGGGCAGAAACAGGCGACGGCAAAGTAGAGCGCAAATCGACATCAAAGGGCCGCGCTGAGGTTGATTTGCGGTGCCGACCATGCCCCCCCCCCCCGACGACGCGAAAGGGTAAGGCGGAAAGTTCCGCCTCAGACGAACGGGGCTGGCATGCCCGCCAGAGTATGGCAGAACCGGGCGACGGCAAAGTAAAGAGGAAAGCGGCATCCAAGGAGCCTGAAAAAAGAGCGGCACTTTCCTTGTGGATGCCATGACAATGGACACTCTAACAATCCTATTCCTATCATTGAATTACACATGTGCTTAAAATGTGTAAAACATGTTATTAAAGATGCTTCAAACATGTGCTTACACTATTAAAGCATGTTTGAAACATGCTTTATACATCTGGGAAGTATTTCGCAGCATGTTTCCTCTCCATTAATCGACTTCCACAACACTTTCCGCCCTCCTTGCGAGATCGCCCAAAGTACAGCGGATCCGAAGTGATGGCAGGCCGAACTGCGCCGCACCGGGCGGGACGGAGCCGGACCAGGGACGGGCGAAGAACGAGGAGGAATACCTTTTGTGCGGAAACGTTTGCCCTGCTTTGCGGATGCGGAAATCTCCGCCCTACTTTTCAGCAGCGTGCGGGGTGCACCTCCGACACAAATGATCGACCACCGCAGTTCGGCGGATCCGTTGTTTTTGATTGTGGGTGGTTGATCCAATTCGTTATTTGCTAACACCAAACAAAAACAGCAAACAAACAAAAAACTGGCGAGGGACCCAAACATATGCAGCTGTGAGTACCGCAGTCGTGAGTATCGTCTTCGGTGGAGCCCCCTATCGGGCCACGAAACGCGTGCGGGGTGTGCCAAAATCGGGCGGCGCCGCCATGCGAACCCTGCCACTGGGGTCTTCGGTGGACCTCCCTACGGGGCCACGAACCATGTGAGGGATGTGCCAGAATCTGGCGACGCCGCCATGCGAACCCTGCCACTGGAGCCGCCGGTGGAGCTCCCTATGGGGACACGACTGTGCCAGAATGGGGGGAGTGGCAGGGATGGGACGAGGGAGGAGGGGGAGGGGGAGGGGGAGGAGTGGGAACGCGGGGAGCTCTCTCCAAAACGAGGACCCAACACCACAGGGTGGTTGGTGGACGAGGGGGGGAGGAAAAAAAAAAAAAAAAAACGGTTGATCCGAAGTCAGCGCGGGGCACGAGGAGAACCACCGGCGCCGATACCGAGCCCGAGCTGCAGCCCGAGCCTGCGGGAGCGTCGAGATGATGAGCGACAGGGGGCAGCACCCCACCATCGCCGCCGCCGGCGCACATCTCGCGCGGGACACCGTGACGAGGTCGGAGAAGAAGCCCGTCGGCGCCCGCGACGGCTTCGGCGGGGCCGGCTTCGGCCTCGCCTGGAGTCAGGAGGCAACTTCTGCGAGGTCTTCGTCAGAACGCTCCACCCATGCAGCCCGATTTAAGATAGAGTCGGACCCGGGCCAGGAGAGCATCCCTCAAGAGCAGGAGACCCTCCGTCGGCCAAAACAAACAGAACATCCAACGGTACCCTCCCCAGGATGCAGTGGAACATCCAACAAACACGAAGAACACCAGGGTACCCTCCCCGAACCGACCTCGATCTCATACCTCGGTCCTGTATACCAGCGACAAATCGGGATCTGACCTCCAGGGAGTGGCATCCCGGCTGGAGGGCGGAAAGGACCGCACGGGCACCGACTCTCGAGGGCCCCCCCTGGACCTGCGCTGAAGCCCCCCTGCCCTGGGCCCGCACGGGGAGCCAGGTTGGCGGCGCCACTGACTACCTTTAGGTCGGGCGTGTCCCCATACAGGGGGATTTTGGGCGAAAGATATAAAAAAACATATTCCAAAAATACTACCCAAATAAGGAGAAATAGTCAAAAAATCGTCCCCTGACTAATTTTTGACTGTGTGTGCGTGCGTGCGTGTGTGTGGGTGTGTGTTTGGCACTTCCATCTGCCGACCGCGCCAAAGGTTCCTCTGCGCCGCCGACTTAAAAGTGTGCGTGCGCATGTGCGTGTTTGTGCGTGTGTGCATGTGTGTGTGCGCATGTGTGTGTGCGCATGTGCGTGTGTGTGGTGTGTAGTGCGTAGTGTGTGTGTGTGTGTGCTGTGTGTGCGTGTGGGTGTTCGTGTGCGTGTGCGTGTGCGTGTGCGTGTGCGTGTGTGCCTGCGTGCGTGCGTGCGGGTGTGCGTGCGTGCGTGTGTGCGTGTGTGCGTGTGTGCGTGCGTGCGTGTGTGCGTGTTTGCGTGTGCGTGTGCGTGTGTGCGTGTGTGCGTGTGTGTATGTGTGCGCGCATGTGGGTGCGTGCGTGTGCGCGTGTGCGTGTGTGCATGTGTGCGCGTGTGCGTGTGTGTGTGTGTGTCTGTATGTGTGTCTGTGTCTGTGCCTGCACTAGCCCCGCTCTGAGCGGGCCCGGCTTCCGTCCCCCTCCCGCCCGCGCCGGGCCTTCCCCCTCCTCCACACGCGCACTGCTGCTTAATTAGCACTCGTATGCCCCACATTTGCCCCATCCGCCAGCGCAGTCACTCTGCCTAGCCGCCGACGCAAAAAGTCTGTGTCTGTGTCTGTGTGAGTCTGTCTCTGCGTCACTGTGTCTCTGTGTCTCTGTGTCTCTGTCTCTCTGTGTCCCTGTGTCTCTGTGTCTTTGTGTCTGTGTCTGTCTGTGTGTGCGTGTGTACCG